GAGAGCCCGGGGACTTCGTCTAGGGTACTTGGACAAGTAGTACATGTACAGCCCCGTTGTGGTAGAGTAGAAGGGGTAGTACTACCACACGTACTACCGGACTCCGGGGTAAGTCCGCGAGTACAGGTACAGACGTTTCACCTCATAAGGTGGTGTTTTGGATATATACCTTAGTGATGTAAACTTATAGTGGGTTCCCACAAGACGAAAACCTAGTTTCAAATAGTGGACGCCACAACTTTATATTTTATAAGTTTTCGAATCCAACGCGAGGACGTGTGCGGATGGAAGCATGATTCGTCTTAATCTAAGAGGTGACATGTCCGTAAACTCAAGATGAAAATCGAGTAGAATTAGATAAAATGAACTTATATAGTCATCATCGAAGAGGACGTAATGAACTGTGTAATCAGAACGTCGTATGAAAAAATAAAGTATGAGACCAAGGACGTGATAAGAATAACCGCAAATACAAATACAAATAAGAGAAAGAGATATATATAAAATACCAACGTAACAAACTACTCGGACACCTGGATTGAAAAGGTATTGTATGAGTCCCAAGTGCGCCCGCAAAATTTTTCAGAATGTAAAGCACTATTAGTCTTAAATTCCGGAATTTTTCAGAATTTATATAATGTTTTTTAATTCTTTCCAGAATTTATACTAACATTTTTTCCAGAATTTTTTCTACCTTAACTTTTCCATGAAGACACAGACACTACCCGCAAGGATTTACACAAAACCCTCTTTACAGCCCGACGTGCGTTCTTTGGTCATGCCATTTCTCGGAAAGTCAAGGGGGTTTATTAAACATAAACTGTATTTAGTTGTAACCTGGTCATTAGTGATTGAAACATAGGCCGGGGGAATAGCCCTCTTGTGGGTCGATATTGGGATTCGTGGTGATCGGAAGTCATCGCTCTCGCGCGAGCACTTGACAGAAACGCGGCCACAATACGCGCTCGCCGCACGCACCCCACTGCAGTTGGCGAAACGCTCTGACGTAACATCAAGGCAGCGAAGCGAAACGAGCGCAACGAGACTTTTCAAGTTGAAAACTTCGAAGCCGCCTTCGTAGTCGATTTAGTTTAGTATACGGTCGACTGGTTCGAGATCGGTAAGTTTGGCGCACGAACCACACAGGCCCCGCCTCTAAGTACACTACCCAACAACCAGCTCAAGTCTGTGCGCTCCGTTCGAGTTGCATGCGGCGGCACACCTGCGACCGCAATTCGTCGTACGGGCGGCTCCTATACGTACGTGAGCGCCCTCGAGCGTTGTCGCATTTCGTTTCTGAGGGTCTGTAAAGTTAAAAACATGCCGTTTCATGACAAACCTTTTGCTATAGATAAAGGAAAAAACTGCCGTAAGTAAACCGTATTGTGGCCTGGAACGACGTCTCTTTGAAACGCGACAAGGCTAAAACAAGATTAGGACAGTTTTACTGTTCTGACGAAAGGTCTAAAAAGGCAGAAACAATAGGGCACCTATATAAATGAGACTTTCAGTTAATAGTCCTGTAGTAATGAAAAAAGTATCGTAATGAGGAAGTATGAAGTCGGACACTTTCCGAAGTCTAGCTAAGTTTACTAGACGTTTTCATAAGTACGAGACCTCATGTTTCGTTCTTGTATGGTACACATTAGAGCAACGAAGTAGTCAGATCCTTGTTATCTGCTCTTACCTTTCCTTGTCTTCATTTTTATGTATTTGTGTTTATTGTATCGTCAACAAAATTATTATCCTGTCATGTCAGTCTTTATCATGTGGTAGTAGTCTCAATTCGAAGAATTACGAGATCCTTTACTCAGGGGTATGGAAATACTTGAATCATGATACCGGCTGTCCTGCCTCATAAACACACACAGTCAAAAATGGGAATCGTATTACACACACGACACACGGGGGCGGAAGTTCGACAACCCTCTTCGAGTCAGGTCGTCACCCGAGGTCCCCGAGCCGATCGGCACCACCCCTTGGACGATCCCGAGCCGTAACCGATAGATGTGTCACAGTTAGTTACCCTGACGAGGGGTGTGTGAGACAAGACTGAACCGACCCCGAAAAGTATCCCTGGGGGCACTCCCATTTACGTGGTGAAAGACAGATCAGAGTACACAGGACCAACCAAGAAATTAAAGGAATGCTTCATGGATGAATTACTCAGTTGGAAAGTTCAAAATTAGGACTACACCAAGTTAGTGAGTCCGGTCCATTCTCCGCTGCTCCTCGGTAAAACATTAAGGTGAATTTTTCGTGTATTGTGTTTTATTAATCACTACGAGGCTAGCGGTTAAACCCGGTCGGGTCTTAGTCATAGTCGGTGTGCTAGGCTAGCTCACCGCCCGGATAGACCCCCTAAAGGCTAATTCTCATACAATATAGTCATTACGACAAAGATAGACCTCGAAGGTGTTGTTGTTTTGTTTAATTAAATGTAGTTTATTCTGTAATAAGTCAAATGCAAATTGAAAACCTATTCGATGTGTGTCCCTCTAGAGAGAGAGAGGGGGAAGAGCAGAGAGGGAGAGAGGAGAGAGGACTGTCGGACAGTCATAGAGTACGTCGAGGGTCGACTAGGTCATTACTCACTGGGGTGTCACTTCTTATTATAATACATATTTGAATCAAAATCGAACAAAGGTCTCCATTAGTTTATCGATGTCACAGCCACTCCAGATTGGAAATCACACACAAAGCGAGGCGAGTCGCCAGGACGACGTCCCTAAAGACGAAGTGTGTGCCAACCGTATGGCGGGTAAAATGACAAGAAAAAGCCTCGTGAAATTTTACCTTGACGGTCCCTGACCACTTCGGTAAAACGCTCGAACAAACGGCGCGTGTCTCTTTTCACAGTAGGTAAAATGCAAGTAACACAGCAAGAGCGATAGCCGGTAAAAAATCTCTCGTCGCATAGCTAGCCGTCTGCTCACGCCGTCTCTCACTATAGCCGGTCTATGGAGCTAGCCTCGTAGGATTTTCTATTAATTTATATTAGTTAGTTCTAAAAATAAACACACCGCTAGATATCTGCCATTCCGAGATTACCTCTTTATAAAACACAGGCGTGAATAAAAAATATGCATGGATTAAGACTCTTCATAAAGAAATAACATAAAAACTAATAATAAACATAAAAAGTACTTACGTTTTTTTCCAACTGTTATGTAATCCCTTAGTTCTTTGATATGTTGTCTCATACTTATCTCTAAGTTTTTTCCTTGTAGTGGATTTTTACGAAGCACAGGTCAGCCCGAACCGACCCTCGACATCCCCAGCGGCCAAGTCAGGGCTGGTCTGGGATCATTTATACCTCACACCTGGACATGGAACTCTCCAGGTCAAGTGAGGACGGACGGCACCAGGGACTCGTTCACAGAGGCACAGTAGAGAGGGGGGGAGAAAGTGGGGGATAACGAAGGCGACCCCTCGCGACTGTTATCGACAGGTGCGAGCGATCGATCTTCGCGCGCCCCCCCGACACTCCGACCCACTCTTCCCGTCTCTTGTGCGAAAGGGTACATACGACACAAGGAGACGTACACTCTGTATTCCCGCATGTAGGGAGGTGTCCCAGGAAGCGTCCCGATTTTGCGAATGTAACTTTAGACTTAAAATTACCGGAATTTTCCACGAAGTTTCATACTAGGTTTTTATCTTCTGTTACCACGAATTTATACTTAATCATCCAGAGGCAAATTACAAACCCGATTCTCAGAGCCGACTTTATTCGTCATGAACCATTATCGGAAAAGTCAAGAGGAGGGTTGATTGCAAACATAACATATATAGTTGTACCTTGGTTCATTAGTGATGAACAAAAGGGAGAGCCGGGGAATAACCTCTTGTGGGTCGATCATTGGATCGTTGGTTCGAAGTCGAATCGACCGTCAATCTTGAGTACAGGAGCATTATGAATAGCCTAATTATACCCCTTCACATTCAAGATTGGCATAACCAAACTTTTGTAGGCATTAACATCAGCGCCAGCTTATAGTCACTTCCCACTAGCACAAACTTCGAGGCGACCGTGGAAAACGTTTTCTATTAGTCGCAAACAAAACGATTACACGGTAATCGATCCGTCGACAACAACACGTTCGCAATCTAGTCAAGCCGCCTGCAAACCCATGCAGTTGGGATTTCGCCTCCGGACATCGCGATTATGGCTCAATTTGTGGAGGATGTTGTCGCTTGCTACTTCTAACATCAGGTCCGACGTCTTCCGAGTTATATCGAGAAAAATGAGAGAGAGTGAGGTTGTGTGTGTGTTGTGATAGTGGTGTTGTGTAGCTAGTGTTAGTGTGATGTGTGTGTGTATGGTAGTGTGTGTGTGTGATGTGAGTGGTGTGTATGTGTGTGTGTTGTGTAGGTGTGTAGTGTGTGTAGGTGTGTGTTGTGAGTGTGTTGTGGTGTGTGTGAAAAAAAGGTGTGTGGATCCGACCAAAAAGATAATACCGTCTTTTAGTGTAATAGAAACCAGTTAATTTAACTATAGTGACTAATAATTTATGCTAATAAGTAACTGAAACTTTTGTAGTAATACTTGAAACTTTGTTATTATATAAACTTGTACATAGAAAAATTGACAACTAGGGACTGCAAATTAAGTCTTGACTATTATTTCGGTTAAGTTTTTATAATTTATTTACTATATAAATTATTTAATTATAGTTTATTACTTATGGGTATTTGTTCTGTTGTTATAGGAAACCTGGACAGTGCTCATGATTTTATTATTTATACTATTTATTTATATTTAATCTGAGTTTAATTAATTACTTATACAACAAATCGTTATGACATCATAAAGTGGCCAAAATCTGATCGGCTCATTTTCAGACAGGTTTTTATAGAAATGGATCAGGACAAAAAGAGAGAGAATCTTTGTTCCTGAAACTTTCAGAGTCTCTTTCCACAGAGGGGACACATGTTGATGTAGAAAAGACGTGGAACATTTTGCATAATAGGTGACCTTTAATGGATGTTTATCTAATCTAATTCCCTCCGGGCTTTACCTTCTCCACCAGGTTCTTGTCCGTCTCCTGGATGCTGGTGTCGGGGACGGGTTTCTCTGAGAAGCCGATGGGGTAAACGACGTCTCCCTGGCCGCCCTGACGGTCACCACGAGTCCTGCAACACAGAGAGTCTCGCTTTATTCCATGAGAACGACTTATTCTTTTTTTTAAAGTTGAGAGACATAGGCGTGGATGGACTGGCTGAATTAAGAACTCAAACAGGAAGCACTTATACTTACAAGTTTACATTTCATTTCATATCCTTTTTATTTGTTCCGTTCCATGGTATGCACAACTTAATGTATAACAATTATTTACAAAACATGTCTCTATAAACACACCATACCCGAAAGGAGCAGGGAGAAGAAAGTCATCTTATATTACCTGCCCCTTTCTCAAAATAAATAAAGAAATAGAAATAGATGGTCTGTATGTTACATTACATGTTAGACGCTTTTATCCAAAGCGGCTTACATACTCAATACTGTGGGCAATCCCCACAGGAGCAATTAAGGGTGAAGTGTCTCAGTGACACAACGACATGCTGACTGCAGTGGAGTTTGAACCTGTGATCCCCTGAACCAAACACCAACGCACAACCCACTGCACCACACACCTCCCATGTTCATATTTTCTTATTCACAGCCAATCATAAGAGTGTCGTAGGAAAATAAGAGAAACACAAAAACTTACAAAAAAATACTTAGTTCCCACTTGACAGTTGACGGAAAGAAACAAAACAAAAAACAACAACACAAAAACATCACATGTACAAGGAGTAGGACATGATTGTTCTGTGTGTCAGACAAAGTCTTATATAGTTTAAAATGTTACACAGAGTATTATTTCAGCTTTAAGTGTCTCTTTAGACTTCCTGTATGTCAGTATTGAGTAGACTATTAGATATATTATTGCAGGTGTTTGGATGTTTGTTTACCTGCTGTTGCCCATGCTCAGCTCCAGAGCCCACTTCATCCTCCTGGCTCCGCCTCCTCTCGTCGACAGAGCTCCTCCTCCTTGTCCCCCTGGAGACGCCATGGCAACCCCCTTTACTGCTGGACCTCAGAGACAGAAAGCAGCTATATAGAGAGAATAAGAAAAACAAACAAGTCAGACTGGAATAAACCGTAAACATATAGTACAACTTCAGTTATAATAACAGATATGGCTATTCTTCGGGGCCATTGCCAAAAGGAATTGAATATACAACCATTGCATATATTTATGTGTGTAATATAACATAAAGGCATGCTTTCAACTAAAAAAATAGGATTAGAATCAGTAACAAATCCAGTTTTTACACAACTGTCTGCTGTAAAAATTGGGCTTGTTACTGATTTTAATCCTAGTTTTTCCAGTATATTACAACACATATATTATAAGTCATAACTAGTAATCTTTGAGTTTGTTTATCCTGATGTTTTCATGTATAGTACGTTTTTATACCTTGGATACAAAATTCCAGTAGTATGTTTATTATTAAAATGACAATTACATATATTTGGGAAATGCTTTCATTGTTTTGCACCTTCAATCACGACAACATATATTGTTGTTTACCTCTAAAATACGGAGTTGTAAATATGTTAATAACATAAGGTAAAATGTCATGCGTTGAATACAATTGACTTAATTGAATCTCGCTCCGTTAGACGAATTAAAAAGACACAAAGGAGGCTGCCATAAGCAAAGTGTAATGATAATAATGAAGCTGATGCAACTGTGCATTCTTCTTTAATACAATACAACGTTAGCATGACACTACAAACCGAAAAAAATGACATTAAATCGTGTTAACACGATGCAAATGATGATGCTATCAACACTTCGTCGTTGTTGTGAACTCAAAGAGGAAGTTATATCTGAAATAAGTGTAACACACTGTCACTGAACATCCATCTTACCTTATAAGAGCATCCAAAGCACTGCTATATGGTTTATTTATCGTATTTTTTGATGAAATTAGTGAAAATGTGGCTTGCCGTTCTGGGGAACAAATCGACCATTCGTCACTCACTGTTTCCGGGGCACGCAAAGGTGACGGGTTACGCTGCATCCGGATATTGCGTCACGATTATTTCTGTAAACAAACGTGCTTTAAAAAAAATGTGTACAGAACAACATGGCTTTCAGATATTTCACAATATAATAAAAACGAACAGCAGTATATATATCATATAGTTTCTTTAAAACTAATGAATAATATCTTGTTTATTTTCTTCTACTTATTGTAATCTTGTAACAACTTTCATATTATTCTAAATTAAGGTTTTTTATTTTTTTATTTTTAACTTTAATTTGGTGTAATTTTTTGTATGTGCCGTATTGGACCTTGTTTGTACAGGGTATATGCAGGAATCGTGAAGTCAAATGTAAGACCTTTTTTAAAAGACCCTTCCCATACATTTTAAGACCTCATCGCCACTTGGAGTTCTAACCGGTTACATTGGCGACACACTTTACCTCACATTGACTATATACAGTATTGATTGTCCTTCCTCCTTATCTTCCAACCATTTCGACGCAAACTTGAATTTCCCCATAACGATGTTGTTTAACAACCGGCGTAAACGGACCTTCGCGCTATCAAGCAGTGAGCGTGCGATGTCCTGTTCAGATGACGTCAAATCCAACAGGATGCCATAAATAAACAACATAGAATCACACTACACACCTACGCAATGATTATATTCAGGCAGACTGTAAAATACAACCTCTTTGGACAATTTATATACTTATTAGAAACAAGCTACCAAATGTAATACCTTGGAAAATGCCGTTTAATACTTTTTAATAGCCTTAATTTTCGCTAAATAGATTTATCAACTTGTAATACTTTATAAGACCCCCTGTTGCAGCTTGTAGAGACATTTTAATGAAAAAAAGAGAAATATAAACAAACTAGAATAGCATCAAAGCATTTATGTTTCTGTACAATGTCCCCATTGTTTGTAGCTGTATACTTTATTAAACAACCTGTAAGCAGTACAAACATTTTAAAAATCTCTGTGCAATCTTTACAGTCAGTTTAAGACAAAGCTGATATATACACACACATACTGACGTGTAAATGAAGCAGTGCAAATTGGAATTGAAAAGTGTGTTATATGATACAGAAAGTTATTAACAGTGTGAGCATATATTAAGGCACAGGTAAACTCAGGAGTAAAAAAACAGTACTGCAACCCATTGTTATATTTGAGATCAAAATCGCTGGTTACAAATACGTACATAGGTCCTAAATGCATTTTTCAGATTAGAGAGAGCAACTCGTCCAATTTGCTGAAAAATAAATACACAACTGTCTTTTGAGAAACGCAGAAAATCTCTTGAAAAAAAAACACTTGAGGTGATAACTCTATCCAAGAAGCCGGGAATTGCATTCTGTATCTGCTTTTCCAGCACAAGAAAACAAATGAATACAAAGTAACATCAATATAAGTACATTGTACACAACAAATATACTTGGAACTAGAATCACCGGGTATTTATTTTTCAGGAAATTGTAGGCGCAGACTGAGGCTTGAATCTCGAAGAGGCATTTTACTGCATAGTGCGAACAGGACGAGAAACAAACAAAGTTAATGATTGGTTCATAACTCACAGGAGAAAGTAACAAGGGCTCTGAATATCATTACTCCAAAGTTAATATTCTGCAATAGAAACTATAGCCTGAGGAGAAAATGTTCGGCTGTACAGTGTTTTGTTCCACGCTCAGATCAGTGTGTGTGTGTGTGTGTGTGTGTGTGTGTCTGGGTGTGTCACTTGTACAGGCTGAGATCGGGGCTGTGGTACAGACACATGTAGGAGTCACACAGCAGGCGGCGGGCCGACTCCCGTATGGAGGCGGGATCAACTCTGCTCAGCTCCTGCTCTGATAGGCTGAGGAAGCGGCCGGCCCACCGTCCGGACACGTCCTTCACAGTGGGGATGTTGAAGTCCGTTCTGCTCACCGTGGGTGAGAGGAATACTAGTTAATAGTTGTTTGTTTGATCACTGAGACTCGACCGAAGGCACGAACGAG